ACACCTTGAGATTTTTTTCCTAAGGGGCTATGTGAAAGGGCAGGTCTATATATCCCCCTCTTCCTACAAGCCAAGAGGACCATAAGCAGAGAATCACTGAGGTGCTGGGGAATGTTACGAAAGACATGCTACAGCGTGTTTGGCAGGAGCTGGACTACCAGCTTGACGTTTGTCGTGTCACAGGTGGCTCGCATATTGAACATCTGTGAAGCTCTGTGAAATCTGTTATTAAATCTACATCCCTTTAAATATCTTCTTGGAATTTTGATAAATATTTTTTTCTTCAACATGCATAATTTCATTTCATTTGTCTGGGACATTTACTTTTTTTGTTGTTTTTTTGTTTTTACAGTGAGTTTCACCTTTTACAAGGCCTGGGCCACTCGAGGTAGAGGATTATGTTAGAAGGCAATTCTTGCAAATAAGAGTGGAAGATAATGGTTAACCCTAGCCTGAAACAGGTTAAGATTGTAATGATTGGAGAAACATCCTCTTGGGAGTCGCTTGCACAGAGCAGTGATTCATGGGAAGAAGCTGTTAGAGTGGAACTTACTTCTCACAGATGGAATACAGAGGGAATGTGGGTGATTTGTTACGATGTAAGTGGCAAGGCGTGTCCTTTCGGTGAAGCTTTGAATCGGCGGTACTAGGGAATGTAGTTCGTCCGAGCACTTTTACGACTGGAAAAATACAGGATCCAAGGAGAGGGAAGATAACGATTGACCTTGCTTTTACATTTTTGAAAATCAAAGTTTGCTGGAAAGCAAGAAGCCGGAAGAGTGTTCTGGAATCGAGAAGAGCGATAGACGAAACTGCTATCAAAGAACATACGTCTACATCTAACCATTCCAATTGTAAAATGATTGAACTTTGTGGCCAATCTAGTAGCATGCTTAAATTTATAAAGCCTAGGTTCCATAGAAGAAAGTTTATCAGAACAATTACCATAATTGGGGTTGTAACCTAGGGAAGGTTACTGAATAGAATAACCACACGAAGGTTGGTAATGAACGATAATACTAAGAACAAGAACAACACATATAAGATTCGCCAGCGGCGCGTAGAAGAAGTGGTCAACTGCAAGATATCTACCAACCGTCCCACGCGGTTAGATGTAGCACGAGGCCGAATTTAATGTGGGGTATCCGAGCCCTTAGGCTCGGAAAAAATTCCCCGTATACGCCATATAAAACAGGATCGGGTAGCTGTTCCCCAAGACGAGACATTGCCTTTCGTCATCGCCTCGTCTGGAAATTCTCTCTGCTGAGAAGGCAGGGAGTTTGACAACACAGCTGGAGATGAATCTCCAACTGCAGGATATCTACCAACCGACCCACGCAGTCAAATGTGGCACAAGGCCGAATTTAATGCGGGGTATCCAAGCCCGTAAGTCCGACCAAAAATTCCCCGTAGACTCCGAGGCCTGTAGCTGTTTCCCGTGTCGAGACTTTGACCTTCGACATAGCCTCCTCTGGGGATGCTCTTTTACCGGAAGCAGAGAGTTTAACCAGCACAGCTAGAGACGAATCTCCAACGGAAGGATATTTATTGTATATAAAATACAATTGTGGCACAAGGCCAAAATGGTGAGGGGTTGAGGCGGGTCATCACTATCTTATAACTAGCTAATCTGATTCATGACCCATTCAAACATTACAGTTTCCACATTCACCATAAGAATTCGTCCGTCACCACTCAACCTTCCAGCCACTATAATACCGCATCCTCTCAATGGGAAACCTACAAAACGCGCCCCCATGCTTTAAAGAATCTCCAACTGCAGACCAACATACAGCATTTACTACTGTATTTATGTGATTGAGGACATACCCATTATCGTCCGTAGGTATGCTACAATTGGTTGATAATATAACACTGAGCATCTCCTATGCTTATGCATTGTTTAGCAATATAACACTGCGAATGCCATGCTTATGAATTCATTAATATCACACTGAGGTTGTTGCTGCTTACGTATTGATTGAGGATGTCCTTGCTTACACATTGTTCAGTAATATCACGCTGAGGATGAGCTTACTTACGTATTGTTCAATAATATCGCTGTTTACATAATTTAGTAATATCACGTTAAGGATGTACATGGTTACGTATTGTTTAGGAATATCACGTTAGGAATATATCTACTTCTTTAGTATTATCAGGTTGAGGATATCCCTGCGTAGGTATTACATAATAATATCACGCTGTTGATATCCCTGCTTACGTCTTGTCTTGTAATATCCACTCGAGGATATTATCGCCAGAGCCAAATTCAAGAGCAACCTAGAGTAACATCGTGGTTTCCTTTACCCTCGATGTGGTGTAATGGTTACTATGCTTTAGAACAATTACGACTAAGTAATGAATTTGATACTCACTTGGTGTTCCATAGTTTCGGCCATTTACTACACCTAAGCTACGTTTATAAAATCACCATATAATTTCCTTGTATTTCTCGTCACGTGGTCATCATCATCATCCCCTTGACTTTTGCAACCGTAGTGGTGGTGGGGGGAGTCCGAATGCAGAAGCCACATTAAATCCCCTCCACAACGGTCTATCAACTGCAGCCATCAGCAATTCTGCTATAGTCATACCTGTTCATTGTTTGACATTGTCCAACCAGTTTTTACGTTGGCGACCTCTCTTACGTCCACTTTCAACGGTGACTTGCATGATGGTCTTGTACAGGCTGTCGTGCGTCCTTTCAGTGGGTTTGGAGATAACTTATGGGCGCCCATCTCCTCTCCTGGTGCAATGGCTACTAAATTTGTCGCTTTAGAACAATTCCGACTGAGTAGTCAGTTCGATCTCAGTGGGTTTCCCATTTATATCACATTAAGTTATGCTTAGAAAAACTGTAATTTCTTTGTATTTCTCATCATAGACCCATTCCGTTACAAAAGTTTAAAACTTAGCACGTTATTTCTGGAAAGCATTAAACTCATCAGACGGACTTTGATTTTTTTTCCGACACTTTCTTGATTCCGATGTCAAATGATTTAAAATAACCCTTTGACCCACGAATTAAAATCATTGATTGAAAAGCACGAGGAAAGATTTTTATTAGAAAAGCAAGACTTCTTAATTCACAATTCAAGCCCAAATCTAGCTTTGCAATATTTAATATTATCACGATTTTTTTCGTTATATCGTTAGAAATATTTACTTTAATCTTCTTTTTGTACTTGACAACCATTATTAATAATTTTTTTTATTTATTTTTATTTTTTGTATTAGATAAAGCATTATCAGGTAACATCCTTAATTTTTAGCCTCTACATGCGTTCATTTTCATTTTTTCGATTAGATGAACGATTATCTGGCATTATTAATTTTTAACTCGTATTTATTTTTATTAGCTGAAGTATTTGTAGTGAAAGAGATAATCAGCTACCTCGAAAAAGAGTTCGTGTTTTGTGTTTGATCTGCCTAAGAAAAATGACCAAAAATAGTTAGTAAAAATCTACTTTAAGGACCAGAATCTATGTTAATGTTCTTTCGCCACTCCCTGAATGGCATGGCCAATCAGAAAAATCTCTCGGTGAAAAACCCGTTGTTTTTCGCTTATGTGAACAGATTTGATTTTATGAGCTTAGTGGACGAACTCGCGTTTTTCTGGTGAGAAGTGAAAGTTGGATTTGTGACCACCATTTTGTCGTTTCTACGTTGTCTGTTGGACTGTTACGACGGACTATCGTTTGAACTGTGATTTGGCTACAACTGTTGCTGTCGAGAAAGAGAAGAAATTTACTGCAGACGTTTATTGCTACTATAAGTTGATAGTTTGTCTTTTATTTTCTTTACAACTAGAGTATTTTCAGGCATTTTAATAGTATTTATTTTCATTCATTTTTATTAAATAAATCATTGCCAAACATTATTAATGTTTTACTAGAATTTACGTCCTTCATTTTTATTAGCTGAAGTATTGTCAGACATAACAGTATTTATATACGTCATACATTTATATTAGATGAATCATTGCAAAGATTATTAATTTTTACTAGTATTTACATTCATCTTTATTTATTCTTAGATGAAAAGATGCTGAACAATATTAATTTTTAAAAGTATTGACTTTCACTACTACTTTATTAGATCGAGCATTGCCATTCACTATCCATAAATATTTACTCGTATTTCCTTTCATCATTAGTTTCTATTGGATGAATCCGTGTCAGACATTGTTATTAATTCTTTTCTAGTCTTTACTTACATCTTCATGAAGCATTGTCCATTATTACTTTATTGTACTCGACTTTATTTACTTCCAGTTTCGTTTTAGATGATTTTAATCGCAACTAAATGTAAAGTACATATTTGTCCTTCTTTAAACTCCATCCGATTCACAAGACGAGAAAAAAAAAAGAAAGATCATGTGAGATATAGTGTTAGTCGTTTCCATGTTACCAACGAAGCACATACTACGCAACCGTTATTTTCATCTTCATCCTACAGCGAGCAAACTAGATAGATAGGGTTGAAAAATTTGAAGTATCAAAAATCTGAAGTATCAAAGATAGATAGATAGATACATACATACAAAGATACATAGATATTAGCACAATAAGATAGATATTAACAAAATATGTAGATAGTTATTAACAAAATTAGATAGATATTTGCACAATAAGATATTAATAAAATTAGATGATAGATATTAACAAAATAAGATATTTAAAAAAAAACTAGATAGATATTAACAAAATAAGAGATATTTACAAGAAAAATAAATACATATTAACAGAATAAGATAGAAATTAACAAACTTAGATAGGCAGACATAGATATTAACACAATTAGATATTAACAAAATAAGATAGATAGATATTAAAAAAATAAGTATTAACAAAATAAGATCTATAGATAGATAGATAGATAGATAGATAGATAGATAGATAGATAGATAGATATTAACAAAATAAGAGATATTTACAAGAAAAATAAATAGATATTAACAGAATAAGATAGAAATTAACAAACTTAGATAGGCAGACATAGATATGAACATAATAAGATAGATATTGACAAAATAAGATAGATAGATAGATAGATAGATAGATAGATAGATAGATAGATATTAGATAGATAGATAGATATTAACAAAATTAGATAGGCAGACATAGATATTAACAACAATAAGGTAGATATTAACAAAAAAATACAGATATATATTTACAAAATAGATTAAGAGAATAAGACAGATATATATTTACAAAATTACAAATATTTACAAATATAGATTTACAAAATAAAACAGATATATATTTACAAAATGGATAAACTGAATAATATAGATATTAACAAATAAGATATATATTAACAAATAAGATAGATATTAAGAAAATAAGATAGATATTTGCAAAATAAGACAGAGAGTTAGAGTTTATTTTTATTTCACATGAGAGAATGTTTATATCCACTTTCTTCTGTTGCTAGATAACCTGATAAAAGTTTTCATCATATCCATGCTTCTCTAGATAAAAATCTCTTGTCACATCATGGTTGTGCACTTGTGCAAAACTGTCCCGTTTCTCGTACTCGCCCAGGCAGCAATATCATCAACCTCATATTCCCTGTATCAGCTTTAGCAGGGAACTTTCAATTTTTGTATATGATTATGTGCTAAACCCAATTTAACATGGAAAGATTGATGCAGAAATCTGAGAGCTCACAGAAATAGAAAAATGGAGATAGCAACGGTGAAATTAACCGTTTTCATACAGAAAACTTTCAACCTTCATTAATCTTAGTGTTGAAACTTATGAAATGTTTTTTATTAAAGATGTTTTTCAAGAAATTAGACATCACAACTCTGTTAAGCTCTTATAGCTCTTTTTAATAATTATGGACGTTTTTTATTATATTTTTTAATCATTTCACCCCACACAAGGCAGTAAAGCCACGAAGACATAAGGGGTTACTGAGTGTGAAAGAACAAGAAAAAAAAAGAGAAACATCATTAAGGAGCGAGAACAATAAAAGAAGTGGGATCAAATAGACAGTAGATAACGATTGACATTGCATTTACATTTTTGAAGATCAATGTCTACAGGAAAGAAAGAAACAGGGTGGGAATTTCACAAGCGAGAAGTACAAGAGAAGAAACTGTTAGCATAGAACTTACTGCTGCATCGAGCAAATTCTACTGTAAATTGATGAGACCTTATTGAGAATCTAGTATTATGCTTAAATTCATAATGTCTAGTTACCATAGCGGAAAGTTCAACCGAACAATTAACATGAATGTGTTTATAAAAACGTACAGTGAAGCTACACTACGGCGCTGATAAAGTGTCTGAAGCCGAGATAACAGGTCAGGATCAATAACATTGCGGATTCTTCTTTGGATTTTATGAAGCATGTCTAAATATAGCGAGTGTAACAGCAAAATTGTCCGAATCGTGTAACAGTAAAATTGTCCAATTGTTAGATTAAGGGCTGAACCGTTGTATCTTAGAAATGATTAAAGTTATCGTACTGGAATTCTCCGAGGATTTTATAACACTATTTTCTTCTACTTTGAGGATTAAGAATGTATAATTACTCTCCAAACTTAACAAAAGAATCGTGATGAAATCATAACCGAAAATGTCATGTTCATCATTAATTAATCATAGCTAAAGATTGGAAGCTGATGAAGGATTGAAATAAATATATATTATATATATATATATATATATATATATATATTCCATGATGTTTTTCCAACTTATTCAAGATGATCTCTCCCTCTCTAACCTTTTAACTTTCTGTCTTGGAATAACAAGGGGCCTCACAGGTTTCACATACGATTTCATTTTCAAGTCTTTTTTCACTGCTTTTGGACTGTCATAGGCGAAAGTTACGTGCTAAACGTCTTATGGATTGAGTTGGATCTTTTCTAATTGATCTCTAAGTTGAAATGATGATCCATCTTCGTATTAAGACCTTCTGATCCGGTTTTCTCTTCTACTCTTTTTTAAACTTATTCACCTTTCTCTTGATGGTTCTTGAATAGACTTGAAAGCCAGATTATGAATATTAGTACCATTACTGAAGGTTTGAAAAAAAATTTCCTCTCGCCATTGCTCATTTGAGATGACAGTGGGGCTGACAAAAAACAATTTTAAACTTTTTCTAGCTGGATAACTCAAAGCGTTTTTCAGTGATTCTTATGACAAATGGTGTCAACATGGGCAATTTTTGCTGTTACACGCGATATAACAGAAGCGCTGAACCGTATGCGGCAGCAATGTACAAAGTAAGGCCAATGGTAAACTTATAAATATGCAAGATAGATTATGAAGAGAACACAATATAGCTAAAAGTCTAGCATTTGATTCAATATAATCTTTCCAGTGACCGTTAGCCCGAAAAGGCACAACGTGTCCCTCTCCTGAAGATTAGCGTCAGTCATGCTGATGGAAGGCAAAAAGATAGAAGGAAATTTCGTTGGGGGGGGGGGGGTAAATGAACAAGTCATTCCTTGCCGCAGTTAACAACGGATTGCAGGGTTTTTTTTATCTCAGTTACTATCTTGACCTTATCAAACCGATTAGACTTAATATTGATACAGGAATAAATAGATGTGTCGCCAGTATGATAATACGATTCTGTAGGTCACTACCCCAGCTGTGATGACATCCAAAGTCGGCTGTATGCACATAAATCAGGGCTGGCTATGTTCCACAGATGCGTCTCGATTATGGCCGTGATCGCCGTCAACAAAACAATAGCGACAAATGCTTTTCAAAATATTTGTTGGGTCGGTAAATAACAAAAAATACGATTTCTCACTTCGTCGGCAATGTCTTCCTTCTGCTACGAGAAAGTAAACTTCTGTCTGACTTCTCACTAAGTTTCGGACACGGGAAACAAACCCTTCCTCACTCACTACCTGACCGTTTCACTGACTGCTCGCCGTTTCACTGAGTGCTTTATTCATTATATGGATACTTGCTGGGGGACCCACCAACCTTCTCCGTCCATTTGTGTTCCACCATCCGGAAAGTGGAACTACCCAGACCTTACGTTTACGGCTATCTAAAATTAGTAATAAAATTTTATATTTGTCAGTTCAAGGGTGGGATGAAGACAGGATTCCTGAAAAATCCTGGTCATTAAATTTACTCAAAGTTGGCCTGGTATCAATTTTCCTGAGAAAACCTGGTCATTAAATTGAGTGAGAAATCGTATTCCTACTTCAGCATAGATACCAAGTGAACCTTTTTGTTTTTGGTAGTTTGTTTTGGTTTGTTTTACGGCATATCAACCTCAATCAGTTATTCAATGCCGATAAAATTTTCGTTGTTTGTAATATTTTTTCCAAAAATCTATTTCGAGTAATAATTTTCTCTCGCTGGTAATTTTTTCAAAGAATGTATAGCTGGTAATGTTTTTTTTGTTTTTTTTGTTTTTTTTTAATCTATTGCTGGTAATAATTTTCTTATTTTTACAAATTATTTCTTGTATTAAAACCCATTTTTACACTTGCATAGAGTTTTTACTCCAGTTTGGGGGTTAACTATTTGCCCACAGTTGGAACCCTAACAGGTGCTACCGCCCCGGGTCAGGGTGGACCTGGGAACACCAGCAATTAAGAGGTGCTTCAACGTTCCTCAAAACCTCCTAATCAGAGGCCTTGCTGTTGGACGTAGTATATCGTCTTACCTAGGACGCGGATGTAGCTTATCGTCTTACCCAGGACGCGGACGTAGTTTATCGTCTTACCCAGGACGCGGATGTAGTTTATCGTCTTACCCAAGACGGGTTTTTAGTAGTGTAGAAAGTTAAGAATCTTAGTATATCGTTACTTTCTCTTCTACTAATACATGATATCTAATCTCGATATTGATGCGATTCGAAGTCTTCAAATAATGTTTTTTTCTTATTTGCTAAAGCTTTTTTGTATGGGAATTTATTTAGCGCCAGTCTGTAGGCTCTGACGACGTATTTAAGATTTAAATGATTCATTTTTGTTGGTGACGCTCGTTTCAGAAAAGGAAAGAAAGAATTAAGTGATAAGAAAAATTCGTTAGGAACAAAGAAAACAGTGCTAAACTTCCACGTGATATGTCTACCAAAAAGTCCTTATAAATGGGTAAGAGACGTGAAGCTACACAATTTTGGTGCTGTCGATTAATGCTGAAAATATCATGGACAAGAAACAAAACGCAACCAATTAAACAATTATATCGAGTCAATATCTAAGTCTGCTGATAGGAAAGTTAGTTCACTGTGTTTTGCTAGACAATTCTCCTCGCCAAAATCTACCTTGCAAATTTATATGTCTACCATTCGCTGGCACACTGCTTGGAGTTAAAGGATTAAAAAAAAATAAAAATAAGAAGTATAAGGAAATCTGTACTTACATTTAAAACGAGATGAAATTCCTCGGACACATTATGAGAAAAGATTCCCTAGAGAATCTAACACCCACAGAACATTTAAGAAAAGAAAAACAGGAGAAAAACAGTGAACAAACATCTTAATGTATTCTATCTTGATTATTATGCATTTCATAGAAAAAAGGGTTCTTGTTTCTCATAGACTAGAGCCAATCAAATTTGTAGAGAAAGATTTCAGTTGTAGTTCGTGTCAATGTTATTAATTGATAATCTTACAAATAACGAAACAGCGCTACTGAAACACTTGTATTTACATCAAGATTCTCGCGTAAGAAACAAACTCACCACAGTTTACTCTCTCCAAACACGTAAGATTTTATTTTGGAAAAGTCAGAGAGAATGCCATGCGTATAAAAAAAAAAGTATTTTTATAGTGAAAACAACGTCCATATTTAAAAGCGTTGTGTCTTATCTACTACGAATCTCAAACTGCCAATGGCGAAGCGAAGCGAAACGCATTCGCCAAATTGACATTTGTACTTCCATTTAACGGATTTCCAACCAGTCTTCGGATGATTGCAGGAAGGCAAAGAGCGCTTCCACCTCGAGATTCGTACATAGGAAAAATATCGCTCGCAATGTTTCGTATTTACTTGATTTGAACATTAAAATGAACTTATTTCTTCGCGAGGTTATCGGCTTACTGCACTTGTTTCTTGTTTCGTGGGTATTGAACATTCTCCAGCGTTAGTTTCAGTCCTCAGAGTGATTTGTCCACACATGCAAAATAATTCA